ATTTTCATTGTGAGCACAATAGAGTAAGTGGGGAAATATTGTACCTGAACTGCTGGATTTTCCTGACAATCTTGGAGAGTGCTTGTGCTAATATAAATCACATACTCTTGGCTTGACTAAGATTCAACAAATGGGAAACAGAAATTATTAATTTTTCTTCAGGAAAGTTGAAGTCCATAATACCTGTTTATATTCTATCTCCGTTTTTTCAATTAAACTTAAGTGAATCTGAAGTAGCTAGATTTCGTCTAAATCCACACAGCTGAGGAAACCTGTGCTTGCTCTTTCTCTGAATTTTCACTGAGGGGCTTTTATCTCCCCCTAATCCCACCATTTCTGTCAGGACATAATCTCTTTCTCAAATTTACATTTTAATTACAAGGCCAGCTGAACTAGCTAAAATCAATAATGTCAGCATTCAGCAGCCTAACTTCAGCTGAAACCCCAGCCTCTCTCTTTCCTTCTATCGATCTCTCTTGTGAACATGGTCTACTTTATTGCTTCAGGCAAATAGGTGCCATTTGGTCAATTTAAACAAAAAAGGGGATTTAAACATTTTTATGATTCTTTCTCAGAGCTGCTATTGGAACAGTTTGAACCCAGGTACTGTACTTGTGTTAAATAAACCACACAGAGCAGCAGAATTCTTAATATGAATTTTACTTTAAAAACTGTACTTAATCTGTTTCTTAAAACCAAAACAAAGCATCCCCACCCTGACATTGGACACCATTCAGCTGGGGCTGTCTGCATGGTGACTCTTGTCTTTATCTTGTTTGCAAAAACAAATTTCATACACAAATATTCTTTTAAAACTCCACAATGGAGGTGGTATTACTGATGTTGTAGTGTATTTACTTTTAGCTATTTTTCTGTTAATGGTTTAAAATAAGAAATCAATGAGAAAATATTTTGCTCTTGTAACTCTTAAGAATTCCTATATTGATCTTTTGGATGTGATTTTATCTGTCTAAATGTCACATTGTCCATTTATCTATCTCCCTTGCCTTTTCTGTGTGTTGCTGACTGCTTGTCACTGCTGTTCCCCTCCTCCTCCCCAACAAAATCAGTGTAGTGAACAAGCAATCATGTTTTCTGTAAACAGCACAGGAAACAAATGGAAAAAAAATAGGGGTTTCTGAGATCTTTATTGCATATGCACTTTTAATATACATGCACATTTTTCTCTGAAGATGAGAGAAAAGGTGCTATCTTCTGACTTTTTACTATTTGTAAATAGTACACATGCTTTAAACAATGCTTTTCAGAAAGTCTCCTTTTAAAAAAAAGTAAAAAAAGAAATTTAAAATTCTAAATACAGTCTAAGCAATTCTACATTGCAGATACAGTCTATGACATATTCTTCTCAGTTAACCTTGTTCATGCCAAAGGGCCTGTTTGTTTCTGTCATAAAAGGAAGTTCACTTTTCCAAATACTGATGATACTTAAGTATGGTTATAACACTCTTCTGGGTTAATTCTGCTTCACTTTGATACAAAGCACCTGAGAGGGGCTTTTTCACTTTCCAACCTATGACAAGAGCTGAGAAGGAGCCCTGTCCTGCCCCCTTTTCAAAGGCATAAATTCAAAATTCCTGCATTATTATTTCATTGAAGTGCTGTTTTAAAAGAACATTTTTGTGGAGGCACCATTATCCCTTTTGAAGAACAAGTCTGCAGCCTAATAAGTGTAACGAGATAATTTCTTTTTCTATTTAGCCTAGATGTTTCTCTGCTTAGATCCATCCTTATATATATCACTTCCCTTATTCCTGGTCCTTCTGCTAATTTTGAGACTCTTCCCAATGCACAGATCAGTCCTTTAAATTGCTTTTTAACAATGTTCTTTAAAGCCTTGTTGACTTCAGAGAGGAAGTTGGATAACATGGTGAATGTGGTGTGTTCACAGCTTTCACAGGAGTGTGTGGAGTGGGCAGGAGTGAGTAAGGGAGTAGTAGTGTCAGGGGTGCTCAGCAGCATCACCAGCCAACAGCAGGGTGGGCTGTGGCTGCCAACAGCTGGGAGGCAGGGTCTAACCTCCAGTCTGAGGACATAAGAATTAGAAAGGGGTGATCCCTCTTTGTATCACGGCTCATGCTAACTTCAGTTCCCAGGGACCACTGGACAGCTTGAGCAGCACTGTCTTTGAAGATGCACTGCCTTAGGAATCCAGCTTTGGTTTTGGAGTGTTTTCCAGAGAGCAGAACAAGAAGTTGGGGAAAAGCTGGGTTTGACACTGGCTTCAGACTGCAGTGAATGTCCTTCTGTCCCCTCTGCAATCCTTCCTGCCTGTGAATGTTCAGACTGTTGGGTGCTTGCTGAAGTCTTTCTGGGACAGCTACCAGACTGGTGCTACTGAAATACCCACTCTCAGATGTGTGTTCACCCCTGTGGGGTATCTACATGATACTCCAGTAGCCTTTTCTTAGGAGAGGTGGAATGCATCAGCCTGCCAGAGCTGGCTCTGGTCTCTTTATGGACATGGGAAAACACTCTCATACCCACATTGCATCTTGTATACTTACTTAGCCATCTTTCTCTGTGTCATGCACTGGGTAAGCAGAAGGAATGTATTGAGCTGTCATGGGAGAGGAAGTAGAAAGCAGAGAAGTCTCTGTGAGAGCCTGTTAACTGCTGTTGGCTAGTAGTCTCATCCTCTTTCCTTCTCCAGATCCTATTTCCTTCCCTCATTGTTTTGAAGGAGACAGGTAAGCCATCTGCTGCCATGGTCATTACTGCTCTTGCCCTTAAAACATTTCCCTTCATTGTTACCAGTAGAAGCCATACTAGAGAGAGACTTGTGATCTCAGATGGTCTGAGAAGAATCCTCATCCTTGAGAGTATTCAGGGGTGCTCACTTTTTATCTGGAGGTAGTTGTATTCAGAAAATCTAGGAATTAAGTGACCATTTGCTATATGCAACAAAATTTAAAGGCTACACATGCATACAAGTCAGATTTAACTGGATGTTTGCTATTGTTTCTTCTCTCCTTCTGAAAGGCTCCAGTTCTCTGGATTTTAAATTAGGATTGTCAGCTCTCTCTGGGGAGAGTATGTCCAGGAACTTGGTTAAACAGGAGGCTGACAGGGCATCCTTCTCAGTGCCTTGAGTTGGGAGCTTTGGAAAACAAAGACGAGATGTCATTCCCTGCACAAGGACTCAGTTCCTGATCTTGATACTTGGAAAATGTAGACCCATATGTATCCAGGGGGTGGATCTTGATGGTTGATGCCTCAGCACCTTGACCTGTGACTTGAGTCAGCAATACCATGGGTTGCACTCCATAGGCCAAAGGGAATGAGTGGTGCGAATGAATCAAGGTCAGAATGAATTACTGAAACACTTTAAAAGGTGGAAAGAGGGGTCAGGGTAAATATTTTAATTTTGTTTGTGAAAAATATGTTTTCCTCTGAAATGAAAATATTTTGTGTATCAAAGCCACCTGCCACTATGGGTCTTGCAATTTCCCGCTCAGAGGGCAGGTCTTAGGTATCACATTAGCATTTCCTTTTCTACTTGATGTCTTGTGATACATTTAATGACTAGCAAAACAAGAATACTTCTGGATGCAGCTTCAAGACTGGCTATAATTGGGCAAGAGACTAAAAGTGACATATAATGGCTAAAATATGTTAGTTAAACTTTGGTTGCTTTTCATAAGAAGGGTGAGATAATTTGCTAAAAGCTTTAGTTTTGTGAAACCATGACCTTCTTGTATTAATTTAGAGGGGGGTTTTTTTTGAGGGATGAGACCTTGCATTTCAATAAATTATTTTATAAGAAGGCTTTCTGAGGAGACAAATACAGTCTGTTACATTAGCGTGAGGGATCTCATCTTTACAGTTTTAGCTGTCATTGGCTGAAAAGTTCTTGTTTCCACTCCTGGCTAATAGAACTGCTTCTCTAGCTCAGCAGGTAGAGGCAAGTGCTGTCTTACAGCCCAATGCTGACTCTCTAATCTGGCTGTACAAAGTAATTAAGTTGCCCCACAGTAATTAAGCTGCTGGTGCTGAACATCAGTGTCTGGCGCTGCCCTGCAGAGGGGCTTGTTCCTCAGGTGTAGCTCAGGCCTTTACTGTCTGTGGAGCACACTCTGGGGGGGGTACTTACTGCTTCTGCCAGCACTTGGATGTTTCCTCTTGGCAAATTGTGTGGTTTAGTATCTGTGAAAAAAGAATGTTCTCTGGATAATTCCGTTTGCGGTTATATTTAGGAATTAAAACTCAACTCAGTGGTGCTGCCCCTTAACAAATCAGGAAGAAGAGGCTGTTTTGTTTTACATTCTCAGTATGGTAACTGAGATTCATCAAAGAGCAGGGGTGTGCCTCACACCTGCTTTGTTTTTTTCATTGGATGTGCTTCCCAGCCAGCTGTTCTGGGTGATGATGGTTCCCCTTCTTATCAGTCCTGTGTTGCAGTGAATCCCCATCCAGATGTGGCTTCTCCTTGCCAGGATGGAACAGTTTCAGCAGGATTTTTTGCTGAGACACCACAAAGAATTAATCTTAGCAGACAGGAGGATATGGATGTGTGGCTTTTTTTTTTTTTGCTTTCTCCTACTCTTAGATGTCTTTTGGGGCTCTAGGTGTTAAACAGTAGTACCAGTAGTTCCTTTTTTCTATTTTACCTTAATATAACCCTGAGTGCAGAAATGATGTACCAGCAAGCAGTTGTGACGCTGGAAACTTATATACAAAAAGCAGTATTGCAGTTTGGGCAAACATGTATTGTAAAATCCTTCTCTCCAAGGTGAACAAAGTAACATCATTCTTTGTTGTCACATCATGTCATACAAATTTAAAAGTTGATTTGCTGTAGTTACTCAGTATATATCTGTTCCAAAATGAGAAAAATTTCATAGGCATAAATATCACAGAGTGGGATTGATGTCTAATGCAAACTGAAGCCTGTAAGACATGTAATCAGCACCCTGGGCTGCTTGGTCCCGCTGTGAGGGTGTGAGAAGTGAGTCACTCCTAAACATCAATTTTTTTTGCAGGGCTAGAACCCCAGGCAGCTCCCAAAGCTGCGGTGGGGAAGGTGTCAGCAGGACCAGCTCCACTGAGCTCCCGCGCGCTGCCGAAAGGGAACGAAGATGAACTTGATCCAACCTGTGCAGCTGCCACTCTGAAACTCATTAGAGACAAACTGCCAAAGGTGCCACCTCCTCACACCAGGTTAGCTTGGTTTGAATTCTTGTAGAATCCTCTTACTCTTGTGTTTATTAGTCATGACAGCACACAGAAAAAAGCATTCATGAACTAGGCAAGCTGCTGAGGCTGTCTTGGTTTCAGTTTGAAGTAACATTCGTTGCTTAATATTTGGGATTTTGCTGATGATTGCACCAGGATCTTAAGGAATCTTTTACTCCCTGATTAATTTACTTTTATTTGGTGTAAATGGCCTTTATGAAAATATACTGTTCCCTTCTTTGCTAACAAAAAATTATATCCCTATTTATTCAGGCGTTTTTTTGTTTGCAGCCAAACAGAACATATCCTAATACTATATTAGCAACTAGTTGCAACCATCTCTTGGTTCCCCAATAACTTTAGCTGTCAGTGCTACCTGGAGGTGTTTTACAGTTGTTCATATTTGTTGTCAATCCTGTGCAAATTTTGATAGACCTCCAGCCTTGCCTAGCATTTATCTGGGATTTGGGATAAAAATGGGAGTCACCTATTTAATGGCATTTCCTGGAAAGACACTTCTGCATTGGCCAGGAAAGCACCCAAAACCTAGCAAACTGGAATGTAATCTGAGAAAGGGGCTTGCTTCATTAGAACTCCAGAGTTTGGAGTATTCAGGTGTACATTATGACTTTTAATCTTTAAAAATTTAACGTTTCGGTACGGTGACTAAGACTGTGAAGCTGTGTCAGTAAGAATAATGAATTCTGTAGTGGTATTGCATGATGAGTATATTACAAGGTGGAGTTTTGTCAACAAAAGAAAGACTTTGCAATCTGTGTCACTGCCATGCAAACATGGGCATGAATTTACTATAGTAAGTTCTTTATAAAAATGATTTCCAGTACCACATCTGTAGCTCTTGTCTAGATCTAAGGTAATATTAGTGTTGGTCATCTGAAAAATCTAATGAAAACAAAGAAAAAGTTGTTGTGATCATTGCTGTTTTCTGTGTTGACTTTTCATCAATTTTCTCCAGTGAATCTGCAACTCCTGAGGCAGCAGCCTTGGAAGATCCTGACGGTAAGAGAAGAAAACTAGAGGAAGAAAGAGCTAAAGCTCCCCTCATGCCTTTTGGATTAGATCTTCACTACTGGGGAGAGGATCAGCCAAGTGCTGGGAAGATTCTCAAGTAATGCTCTTTTTCTTTTAAGACAAATTAAACAAATAAATAGATTTACTTGTACTCAGAGGTCATGCAGTGGGGTGACTGCTATTTCTTTTGATAATTACTTTTCTCCTTTCCCTTGTGTTGTAGGACCCATAAACAAAGTCAGAAATTCTACCTCTAAATGTTATTTGTTTTGAGAAGATGTGATACTAATTAAATATCCTTTGATGCTTCAAAGCACACTTTTTTTTCTGCTCTTTTCATGTGTGCAGCATGGAATCAGTTACTCCAATTTAAGTTGGCACCTCATTATGCAAAGTGCTCTGCCCAAGTGCATGATAGACATTCCCTCAGCTGGAGACTTTGCTGTCTAAATAAGTAGCAGGCAAGGCAGGAGAAAGGCTGGGGAGGTGTCAGGGGTATTTTTCTTGACTTTACAGAGTGGTAGCTGAGGAAATTGATATGCTTATTCAGTCTCACAAGAAAAAGGTGGCAGTTACAGGATTTGAATTCGGATCTTTCACTTGCCATTCTTGTCTGGGAAGGTTTTGTGTTTCACGAGTCAGTGCTGACTTAGGGAAAGCTTGAGCAGTGCTGGGGAGAAGAGCTGGTAGGTATCCATCAGAACTTCTTTCTAGGAGTCAGTTATAAACCCCTTTTAGTATTTTTAAATGAAAGTTGGGATGCAAACTCTTCCCTTTATGTATAAGTTTCCTTTAAGTCCACCAGAACTTTACTAGCAGTGTGTACCAAACCTGGCTTGAAAAAGTCAAAAATCATTGACTGGCTGGGTTGCAAATGAAGCTCTTATGTTCTTAGCAGTATCACTGTAACTTAGTTTGTTTTCTTACCAAAACAAATTGAGAAAACCAACCCATGATCACAGAGTTAAAATAGTGTTGGCAGAACAGAACAAAGGGAAATCTGCCCCTGTACCAGACTGCATAAAATGCTGAGTATCCTTTAAATTAGTGAAAACTGGTGCACTTGGATAGATAACAGTGCTCTGCCACAGTCACTCCAAGCTTTGGGTTCTATCTCATGTGGTGTAGGCTCTTCAAAACCTGTAAAATGGTTAAGATTTTCAACAGGGCTTTAAGAAGCATTTGTCTGTGATAATGCCGAAAAGGAAGTAAGGCCTTATTTTACATTGCAGATGAGTTACTCAAGTCATAAGTGAAATCAGAAGCATATTTCACTGCCTGTCTGGTTTGTGCTGTACTGTTTTATTTTTATGCTTCCCAATAAAATAGAGGGCACACTTCTGAGCCTTATAGTCTATAACTACAAATATGCCAATCTAACTAAAGATAATTTAAGTAACTCTGCACACACAATACCATTGACCCCGGGTATAAAATATATTTATTGAGAAATTAAGGTAGTTATTGGCCAACTCCTTTACCTTTTCTATATGCACACATACTGGCTCTATAAGATGCTTAGGGAAAAAAAGCAAATTGGAAAACAGGCAACACATATGGGATGTGTATGGAATTTGAATTTTTTAAATTTGAAGAAGAAAAGTCTTTCCACTTCACTTCCTTAGTAGTATACTTACTTACTCATAGCATTTACAATAAATTAAGATTTTGATAGTGAGAATGTAGCTACCAGGAAGATGATTTTCTAAAGAAGTTTTGTTTAGCTGTAAATGGTGATCCATCACCTTCTCTAGAAAGTGACAGTAACTGTGGGCTTGACAAAAGTTTGGGCTGAACAATTTTCCCTACTTCTGCCTTCACTCACACAACTCATTAAACTAGTTTAAGAACTCTTAAAATGAGTTTATGAAACTATAGTAGTACTTTATATTTCTTTTTTTTTGGAGGGGTGGGTAGTGTATACAGCACAGTGTTGCACTGTGTAGAGTCTGCTGTCAGCAGATTGTTTTGGATAGCATGGACCTTCTAAACTCATCTACCCTCCTCCTTGAATTAAATCAGCTTACTCTTGGGAGCAGAGTAGGATAGTTGCTGCAGCACTGACTCTGGCTAGGCTGTTTGAATTAGCCCATTTTGCACTTGCTTCAGGATCTCTGTAAGCGTCTGGTTTTAGAGGTTACGTCTATTCAATTTTTTTATAAGTTTCCCATCATTTTAGGACTTAAGATGTTCATAAATTTGGTGAAAGAATGCAACATTTCTCCAGTAGCTTGTCTTTCTTTTAGATTTTTGTTAACCATTATTTGTCTTGTATTCCTCCTCATGTATTAAAGCCTCTATTATTTGGATCAGGAACACTCTATAAGTGTGAGTGAGGTGTTGATCTTTTTTTATCTTTTGGTTGATTAGCTGTTCCCCTTCTGATTCATCTTACAAATGTTTTACTTGTCACACACATAATTTTTTCAAACAAGTAGCTGCCCTTTTAAAATGTTGCTTAACTTACAACAAGCAATCAGAAAACTTTGGGAATTACCACTGCGTTTTTCTTCTCTCACCTGCTTGTAAATCATGTTGGGAGAAAGTAAGTTATATGCTTGTAGGAAACAATAGTATTTATTAATATCTGTGTAGGAATTAGGCTATTTTAAGTCCAGTCCCCAAATACTGATCAATGATACATACAGTAAAACATAATTTTAATGTTTTTTTACATTTGTTGGATGCATATTTAAGGGAAGTGAGACAGAAAAATTATTAAATAGAACTGTTTCCTGATTGGAAAGGTTGGCATGCACAAGTGTTAAATGCTTCTTCATTCTCATGTAACTGTAATTTGATAATTTAGAGGGGGAAGGGAGTTCAGACCACCAGAGGACACTAGAATTTTACAAAGAGTTTCTGGAAGACTACCATGCATGTAAAAATCCTGCATGGTGTCTTTTTAGGAATGCTGTCCCCTCTGTGTGGCTGCAGAGTTAGTAACACAGAGCTAGCAGTCAGTCTTGTTTTCAGCACTGCATTAAACTAAGCAAATAATAAATTTATTTCATTCTTCTGTTCATTGTCTTGCCATATAATTCCTGAAGCTAAAATACTGTACCATTCAAATGTTAGACTAAAGTCATACTGATATATTAGAAAGACTCTTAGGGTTTGGGGTTTTTTTGTGTATGCTATAGTTTGCAGAAATGTGTAATTGAAAACTTTTTGTATAACCAAAAATTGTGGAAACATATTATTATGTTTAATGCTGAACTAAGGTCCTCTGGAACTCTTTTGCCTTTATGTCCTAATTTACCAGAAGGAAGTTATTTGTACTTTATACAGGTTGGTATTTATCTGGAACTAACGAGGTGTATTCAGTGCAGAACTTACTGGATAGAATCAGTCTGTTTAATAAGGATTCTACTTGTTGAACGTTTTTCTGATGACTTGGCAAATCATGAAGATACTTCAAAATTTACTTAATCCCTTTTTTAAACTAGTTCTAATCTCTTTACATAGTTTTAAATGGTTAGCTGTTGCAGTAAAACCAGCACCTGTATATGTTGTGGGTTGCTAAGGTCAGGTATTTTCCTCTTCTTTTTTTTTTTCCCCTTGTCATCTGCTGAAAACTTGCTTAGATAAAATTCATCAAAACTCTTCAGGCCCTCTAAAGTAATTCTTTCAATTGCTGGCTTATGTGCTTTGCTGAATTGAGATTGGTGTGACTAGTGAAGCCAGTGATCACGGATGTATGGCTCTGTGGTCCACAGAAGGCAAAGTCTCAGAAGTAGGAATGACATCCAAGGATATGAATGATTGAGAGGAATTGGATGTGGATAGAGAAAATCCTCTCAAATAAGTCTGGAACTGATTGGGTGGAAGAGCTGTGTAGAAGAAAGGGATTGTAAAGTGTCCTTTGTGAATTTTATCTCCTTATTGAGACATTTATCATTTGGTATCTCCATTTTGCTTGTAATAAGCAGCAGACATGGAGGCTGGATTTTTTTTTTTCCCTTAGTTTAGCTGTATTTTTTTCCTCTTCAGATTCATATTTCCTTAAAGTTTAGGTGAGATTACTGTTGTTTAACATCAGATATCTTAAAATTAGATACCTAAACTTTAGCTAATTTCTTTCCATGATTAGGAGAAAAGAAACATTTACCATCAGAGAGACAATCATTGCCTTCTAAGATTAGCATCTAAAATGAGTCAGGTAATTGCCCTCTGCGCTTGCCTGTTTCTCATTACAGACTATTGGCAGCTTAGGGTGGCTAAAATGAAATTATATGAATGCTGTTGGGAAAATTTGGAAATACTACATCACCCAAGGGTCCTCGCTGCCCTTCCCTCCCACTCTCTATGTCCACTAACACTGATCTTCTCTGTATGTTTGCCTATATGTGTCTGTAAGTATAGGTGAGGTACCTAATTTTAAAATAGATTTTCAATGGATTAGCTGAATTTCCTAGAAGAACACCTGCTAATTTTTCAGACTTACAGGCACTGTAAAGGAGAACCTGGAGGAAAGACTGTATAAAGCTCAGCCGATTGTTTGCTCTTTCCCTTGATCTCAGTGTATTGCAACATACTCTGATTTCAGCTCCTGCCTCTCTGCTGCTGCAGGAGTACAGTTAAGATCAAGCTGTTTCCTCCTTGATCTGTCTTGTGTTTAATCATAGAAGTATTTTGTTATGAAGAATGTTAACTACAGAATTACAAAGTTATTCACTGAATCCAATATCGGATAACTGACTCTAGATGTCTGATCATGAACTAAAGCCAAGTACTTGTAATAGCTTAGCAGGTTAAGCAGGAAATCAATACTAGAGAGACTTTGGTGATATTTTGAAAGCATCTTCATAATATAGGAGTCATAAGAAAGACTGGTAGAGTCATAGAGGTTTTTTAAATTCACTAATAAAGCTTCCCTTCCTTTCACGTGTGAGTTCAGCACAGGTTGATACTGGCGTCTTTATGTGCTTTCTTACAACTTTGTGGGTAATTTTCATTTGTTGTTTTCCCAGATTTACATCTGAGCATCGATTTTGGGCACCCAGTGAAGTAGAGGAAGAGGTGGAAAATAAAGAAATAACGGAAATGTTAAAAACTAGATATATAACATTTGCTGGCAAGTTTGAGCCAGTGAAACATAAGTGTCGGGCACCAATGCCCGATGGGAGTCTGTGTGAAAGGCAAGATCGGGTTAAGGTAGGCATCAAGTTACATAACTTCCAAGATCTGTGCTATCTGAAGGAGATCTCCCTAAAACATACACATAAAAGTTTATTTCACGTTGTAAATACAGCTCAGGGGAGTGGAAGAACTCTGTGTCTGGAGAAGTTCATTGTTAATATTTGCTTCATGTGGGAAACAGCCTTTTGGTAAAGAAGCTGTAAACATTTAAAGAACTCTTAAAATGTTTTTGGCATTCATTATAGGTTATTTGTATTTTGTTTATTACTGTGATGTGTGAGTACCTGGCAGTAAGGCAGAAATAGGTATATTTTTGCTGAAAATTTTTCCTCATTTAGGGGCATATTTGATATTAACTGGTTTTAGAAACTTACGTGTTTGAGGGCCAAAGAAATTCTATTTACAAATTGGGTTTTATGAAAGCTAAATTCTACACAGCCTCAAAATTATGAGTTTTGTTGAGCAGAACTAGTTTGCTTAAATACTTCTAGTATCCCTGTTTTTCCTGTATTAGCTGAGATTGAAAGATCTGAATGCACGGAAATAATTTAATGGGATTAGTGTAAGCGATGCAGCATTGGTGCCCTAGTTCCAGACTTAACAAAATGTGCTACCTGGTCTCTTGAAATAGGATATTTGTATCAAACAGACCTAATTTCTTTAAGATTCTGAACATATTAAAACACATGATGTTTATGGGATTCTAATGTTTTCTAAGGGGTACTGGGAATCAAGTGTAGTTTTGTTGCTCAATTCCAGTGTCTGGCTTTAAGTTGTGTTGAATGAAATGTAAGCATTTTCTTTTCATTCAAAAGTTTCATGGGTTTTATTTTTTTCCTCTTTCTTTCTCAAGTGCCCTTTCCATGGAAAGATAATTCCTCGGGATGACTCTGGGATTCCTGTGAACGCAGAGGACAGAGCCAGAGAAGAAAAGATGAGGTTTGAGAAGCAAGCAGCCCAGCCAGGTCTGTGTCCTCATAGCATCTTAAAAAAAATTAAAATTAAAAAAAGTGTTAGGCAGAGGTGGGAGATACCTGTTACCTCTTTCACTCCTAACCACATTCTCCCATTTACATTCCAGGTGATTTTAATTTGCAGCTCATTTGCTCATATGATGAACATGGATACATGTGTACACAGAATAAGGTTAACATTGCATTTGTGCTTTATTTCCAGTAGTTACTGCAATGTTCCCAACACTGCTCAGGTAGAGGAGTTATAGCCTTTGTCTTTAAGGAACATTTTTATCAAGGATGATTAAACCTATTCCCTGGGAGATGCTTGACAGTAACTGTTCCATGCTTCTGAAAAGAAGTCATCTAATGTTGCTGGTACCTAGCAGTGGTGATTTGTGCAATATAATGATGATATTATTGGGATTGTTGTGTTCCCACGAATACTGGGAGAAGATATGTTTTGTCACAGTGTGAGAACTTGTTTTTCCTGTATCTGTTCATATCTTTCATAGTCTATGTTTCCCATATCTACAGACTTACTATTTGTGTTTTAGAAGGAGAATTTTTGGCCTTGTTATGCTGTGCATCTGTGCAGCATTGCTAGAAAATCCTCTGAGCTAGAGAAGTGCTCACCTTGGGCTTTACTTTATTGGCATAATAACTATTCTGCAAGTTCTAGTAGGGATGTTTGTGATGGGCTTGAGGAAGGCAGCAAGCAGAGCTGTGCTGTCTAATTGTTTACATGTTACTGTGCAATACTCTGGATTTTGATTTTAGGCAATTGTGGATGGGCAACAAAATTAATGGCCTTCTCCTTTCATCTTGGCTACAGCTTTCAGGTGTAGAGGGGAAGGCTTATCCTTCCCCAAGGTTATTATTTGAGCATTTTTAGGCAGGGTGCAGCTCTGGACTGCTAGGTAAGGAGTGCAGGGAATGAGAAGAACAGCAGGCAATGAGTACCTGGGCAGGAGGACTTCCAGGGGGAATAAGAGACTTTGTTGCAATAGTACAACTAAACCTCATTAATGATAGACAGAAGATACCTGGGGGACTGCAACGAGGAAGGCACTGAAAGTTAATAGATTGCAAAGGAAGACAGGAGAGAGGGATCTGTCCAGCAAAGACATACCGTATAATTGGAGGGGACAGATATGTTTTCAAAGCTTTTCTTTAATCTTCCTTCTTCCAGCAGGACTTACTTTTCTCTGTTTTAAACTATTTATTTTAGGTAAGTATTCTGCATTCTAATTAAACTCACCCATGGGCATTTGCATTTTGATTTCTTATAGAATACTCCCTTGAAGGAGTTAAGGTGTGACTGACTCAGTGTTTCAGAGTTAGACATATTATTAACGAAGCTACTGAACCTTCAATAAAACCTCTTCTGATCTGTATTCAAAAAGGTCCCTGTTGAATTAATGTGCATTTAAACACACAGCTGACCCACCCAGTGTCCTTTAGTACTGGTTTGACCATCTTTGAGTGACTGTGCTTGGCCATCAGAGCACCACACCAGTGCAGCAGTTACTGAACACCACCTGGTATTTGCAGGTGTCAGAGTGCTACTTTTCCAGGTGGTTTCCATCCCTGTCCAGGTGGAGTAAGTGTTTTAAACTGGCATCCAGCCAACAGCATGGACACTGTTGGATTGTCACAGCGAAACCAGGGCAGGAATGTGGATGTTGTGTTGAAAAGGAAAGTTCCCAGCTTGGTTATGACGAACTAAAACTAGCAAGTTAAACTAGTAGGTGTACTTGAAATCTTGAACTAGAAACTAATACTCTGGTATAAAAATCACTTGCACTGAAAAATATTGATTCTTTTTTTTTCCCTGTGAAATTGCCATTGCTTGAGGCTAGACACAGTATTTATTTTTATTACAGTGTCAGCTCGGTGTTGTTAGAGGCTTCTCACCTCTGGCCCACAAGGATGTGTATGTTAGTCCCAAACCAGTGTTGGCATTGCATTATTGAGTGTGGTTGTTAAGCTGAGGTGTCACACAAAGGTCCATCCCATCTGGCTGGGGAAATACTACACAAGCTGTGGCACTTAATTTACTGGACAAAACCTTCCAGGTTTCTAAAGCCATACATATACCAGATGTCACTAAATACTTTTATCCACTGCTTTTTGTTGCTTTCTTTTTTTCCTGTGCCTCGCTGGTTTTATATTTGCTTTATAATATTTTCATCAACCTTTGAAAATGGTTTTTTGTTTGTTCGAGGCTTGTGGTTTAGAGGGGTGTGTTTGGTTAGTTTGCACTGATGTTTGGATTTTGGGGTTTTTTTTGTTAGAAAGATCTTGGAGCAAGTCTGAGCAGTGTTGCTATGGAAAATATGCAAGTGGAAACCCACCGTACAGGGAGTGCTTTGGTCTTATGATTGCCAACAACATTTAATAATGATGACAGTTTGAAAAATGTTGAAAAAAAAAATTTGGGGATCAATTGTGGGGTTAAATCGCACCAAAATTCTTCCAGTATCTCTTTCCTGCTGGATGGTAGGTTTATTTTTATCTTTATGTGATTAAAAGGGGGAAACAGTTATATAAAAGTAATACAGTTTGTGTGATAATGACTATGTTTTGACAACGCTGTCATTGTTATTATGGAGCATTTTTTTATCTTAGTCTAAAATTTTAAACTCTAGCTAATGTCCACAAAATGGTGCTTTGGGCTCTCCAGTCCTGGAACAGTGAATCAGGTGGGATTACACTGACCCGCTAATCTGCAGCGTTCATCCTTTTCCAATAGTTCGCACACAGGAGCAAATTAAGTGCCTATTTTTTGTGTCAACCCTGAAGAGTATCTGGTTTTTCAGCCCTTAGTGACTTGTTAACAAACAGGTATCAGGACAGGCTGGTGCAGGCAGGCCGCTGGCCACTCAGATGTGAAATAGCATCTCTTTACTAACTACAGTATTGATTCCCGCCTACCCTTGCAAACTGTGTAATTTTCTTTTCCCTGCTGCTAAACTCAGTAACAATGTATGAAGAGCTTTAGGGGCCCATCAATGCTCAAAAAGCCTGCTCTTCCCTGGCATTCTATTGATTTTTCTCAAAAGCTTTTAAATTGCTCCTTCATTTTCCTCAAATGCTCATTTCATCTCTACTGGATGCCGGCATTTTTTCGTTGTGTTTAAACAATTGCTCCATTCATGGGGTTCCTAAACTGTGACGCCTTCTTATTACTGGGAGATAAACTGTTTAGACAGTTTTCCTTAATCTTGGATTAATCGTTCCTGTATCTGAATTGTGCTGTTCTGTATTCCTTCACTTCAAAAAAAAAATAAAGTCTGTGAGGTCTTATGATCTATCAAGTTTATGTGTTCCATTTTCTCCCTTTTTGCCTCTTCTGCTCAGCTCTTGAACAGCTTCGTTTTCCTCCTGCTTTTTGGTGTGTTGGATTTTAATCAGTCCTTGCTCTCATGTATGATAGTAGGTTAAATCTAACTTTTCCTTGGAAAATTGCTCTGGTGTTCCTTAACACCATGTTCTTAAGTGAGAACATTGCCTCTGACCTTCCCGAAATGTTGTTACTGGTATTTGTCACACTCAGGGACCATGTTGGTGTATAAAAGAAATTGTATAGTCCTTTAGGACTGTTTATTTTTCTATATCTACAAAGATGTTAAGTAAGAGTAGTAGATTTTTTGTCTTACAGTTTCTGAAGGCTGACAAACATGCAGGAAACTGTGATGAATGACTGACAAGTCCTGTTTGGAGCACGTTCTCTTTGAAGTGGTACTTCCTACATTTTTTTTCAACCTCGAAATCTTTATAATTCAATGCAATTTTCCTGAATTTCCCCCTTGCAGATGTCCATCCTCCAGCCACATTTTTACTTTGTACTCTGTTACCTTGTTCTGATACACAAGACTCCACTAAAGGTGGAAGACCACAGCTTCCTCAAAGAGTTTCCAGTCTTAAATTGTTCATGCTTTTTCCCGTGGTGGCATCTAGGATCAGAATCCATTTACAGTGTATGGCTGGATACTGAAGCATTAAGGTTTTGATAAAACTGTAAAAAAGGGGTTTGATTAGATAAATTAACTTGTGCCATTGTCAAGAGAAGAAACTTGATTTAGATAATTAAACTGAGGAAATGTGGGATGCTTAGAAAGTAGTATCTTTTTTAGATGCAAAATGCGGCCCATGGAAACAGGATTGTTTTGTCCTATTCAAGAATTTTATTCCAGTTCATGCTTTAAAGCAAATATTATTAATGCAAAAAAGTCATAATGTTGTCACCCCTACTCTGCTCAAAAGTTGACATATTTAATTTTTGTTAGGTTTATTTTTAGGCTTATTCAGAATTTATTTCTGAAGATAAGTTCCTCAGCTACATTTTTGGCATTTTCAATTTCTAAATAATAATCACTCTGTTTATGTCACCTCTCCCACATGGGATATTTTCCTTGGAATTTTGCTAGTATACAACTGCTAAAACTTGACTGAAGTTTTCCTACAGAACAGTTTAACCCACGGCAGCCAATAATAGATACTAACCCCAGACTGGCAGGGCTTTTTCATCAAGATCTGTCATTTTGGCCAGCTGCTTTATCCTCCCCTTCCCTTGTGTGTGCAACTTAGAGCACAGTGAGTCTGCCCTTGTCCAGTGGTGACAAGAACCTGTTCCTTAGGAACTGCAAATCCTCCCTGGGTTTGGAGTTTCAAAGTCCATACTTTGTCTTTTAAACAGAGTGGAGGGATCCAGAATTCATGAGAGAAGTTGAAGCTGCTACAGGACTGGATCTTGGTTCCTCAAAAAATAATGAGAAAGGACAGAAGAAGCAAGGGAAGAAGAAAAAATATCCGAATCTGACAGACCTGAAGCAACAGGCGAACACTTCTCGTTCCCGGCTTGAGAAGAAAGTCTTCAATAAGTAAGATGCTCATGTTCTCTCAAGCCCATTAAATTACTGTTTCTGTTTTGTTTCAACAGTATTTTCTGTTTCTACATTAACATGCACTTACTAAACAGCTTTCTTGGCTGACTGCAGAGCAGGAATGTCTTCCATATGTCTGAAGGATAAAGAATAGCAGGTACTGATGACTAAGAGAGAAACCATTTCTTTGAGAATGGTTTTCAACTCATTTACAAAATTTTCCTATGGAAGACTTTTGCCACCCTTTCTCAATTTTTTTAAAATCCTTTAATTGCTGGGTTGGCTGCTCTGAATGATTATTTATTAACTAAATGGATGATACTTTATGTGTGCAAACAGTACCGGAGCTGGAAAGATGATGATGTGTTCTGAGTGACAAACATTACAGCATCAGATGTGCTGTAGTGGTGTAGGTGGAGGGAAAATGAAGTTTGTCATTTTGAAAGCCTAAAATGGACTGTCCTGAGCAGAACTTCAGTTAATAAAAGAATCCATCAAAACTCCTTGGCTTTTGGTGTGTAGCAGTGTCCTGGCAGTTGCCCTCGAGCCTCTGGTGTGTGCTCAGAGACCTTCCCAAACTTTTGACTACTGCTGGGCTTCCCTTCTCCCACTCCTGGCTATACTGGGGCTAGCTGGGCCTCATGTAGAACCTTCCAGTCCAATAGGGACACACAGGGATCCCTTCCTGTGTGTTATTCAGTGTCACACTGCCATTGCACTTTCCCCCTCCCTCACTGAGAATGTGCATTCAGCTGTTTAAGAAAAATATTCAGATCCTCGTTCACTTAACCCTTGCTGTCTTCTGTAAGTATCAAGGGCTGGAACTTGCAGTTCTCTTTACTGTGTAAGAGTTTGGGGATGATTATTCCCTGTACCATAGACATGTGGTCATGGTATTGTTCCCTCCATGGTGCTGTTTCTGTCCATGGCCCTTTCCTCCCAGCACATGTACAAACAGCAGCTCTTGGCCTACATTTAGCTTCAGAAGAAACTGTTTGTGTGGGGTTGGCATTCACACGTATCGAACCAACGTGTGTCCATGACTTACACAGGCATAGATGAATTAACTTTGATTTACCTTAAAGCAGGCACACCAGCTCAGGTGGATGTGGGAGCCAACCAACCATCACTGAATGGGCTTTGGAACATACAGTAGCTCCATGTGTCCGCTCTGTTATGCCATTTCTGATGTCTGTTCTTCCTCAGATGTGGCTGCAACATAAATTTGCCTAAGCAAGCGGTGGTCTTCATCAAATGGGAAGCAGCTGCAACTTTTTTAAGAGTTTCACATGTCAAAAATGAAGTAGTCAGAGGATAGTGAAAAGTTGTCAAATCAGAAAAGCAAAATTATTATTATTATAAAATCATTAGTGGTGGGTAATTCCCTAAACATACTGGGTGAGTTCAACAGTGTCCAAGACACAATATTTTTTAAAACTCTTTATTTTCCCTTTTCTGATGTAATGGTTATAGTAACAGAGCCAAATCCACGTTGCTTTTAGTTACAGAAATACCACATTTTCTGTGAAATTCTCATGTCACCTGGTCTTAGTTAGAACTCAGAGACCTACAGTTCTAATGATCAGAATTCCATGTCATGGTTTACTGTGGTTTGTGCTAATGATTTTGAGTGTGTGTTAGTGCCAGGCATAGGGAATCAAACCTGTCATGTTTTTAATAGGTTTCATGCTTTGCAGCACTAAACAAGATGATAACCTTGGCTCCTTATAACAACCCCAAATTACTTGAAATGTATAGGTGATAAACCCAGGCTCTAGTCTGCCAATAAAGCTAAGTGGAACTGCACACAGATCATCAAAGTGGGATCTCCTTTCATTTACAGTATCGCACAATCCAGTGGTGCTAATGTAAAACCTACATGACATGAAAGTGTCAAGGCCACTCTGCACTGCTAAAGGCTCACTTTTCTCCTACCAATTAGGTAATATTTGAAGTGCAAAACCATGACCACATTTTCCTTACTCTGGTAACTTTAATTGGCAGAATTTTGTTAAAAGTATAACTCTCCTGAGGTGTTTTTTCAGAATGTTGGTTTTCATTGCAGTTGCTGCTGAGAAAATCTTTAATCCCACCATTTAGAGCATTATTAAGAAGGAACCTCTGTTTTCAGATGTTTCAAAATGGCTTTTGAAATGAAGCCGTTACAGAGAGCAGTTGGCCAAAACTGAAATCACCTTCTTTTGGAGATAACCATAGGAGCAGAGCTGGAATAGCCTGGAGGGCCTGATCCTGAAAAAGGCTGGGGCACACTACCAGGTGCACATCTTGTCTTCATTTTACTGCACAGCTTGCAACGTTATCAGAAGTGATAAAGGCAGACTGTGACACCATAGAGTCTGACACCACTGGACCTGAGACCATCCACTTTGTGTGATGGAAGTTGCCAGCTGCATTTCTGGTATAGGAATCAAAGGAGACATCAGTCCCTACCATGTTCTTCAATGGGACAGAGTCCCTCAAACCAAACCCGTGGCTGTTCCACCTCCCACGTTGGCAGAGCGTCCAGTCTTTAACTGGAGATGTGTTAGGAGATAACTTCCTTCGTAAACAGAGGCAGGGTGACATCTGAGCTCACCTGCAAATGTCAGCCTCAGATCACTGAGCTTTTGTTCCAGAGGCAACAAAAGTCATCAGTAAAAAGAATCCAGGCAAGAACAAGGCAAGGTGCACTCAGCTGTGCACAACAGTGCTGAGTTTCTGAGGGGGCAGATGTTCACAGCAGAGCATTCTCTTGACTGCTTCTGCTGCCTTTTTTTCTGCTGTCTTACTCCTCTGGATTTGTGAACCATCCTCTGCCTTACCAGTTAGAGGATATACAGACCTGCTCTCTCTGTGCCTTTTATGACAATCTATTCATGCTGTTTAGGCATCATTTTTCCTCACCCTCAAAATCTCAGCTGTGTGGTCTCCACTCAAAAGGTTTGTGGAGGGAAAAAACTGAAGTTTCTCCACTTACTCAGCTGAGAAGTAGAGCAGTCCCTCCCAAAAGAAATCTCTGGGCACCACCTTCACTGGGAGGAAACAATGGCAGCAAATAGGGCAGCAACAAGGAGGCAGGCCCTCACTGGTTTTAAGAGCACCAGAAAGCTTAACAGCTCCAAAGTTTATTCCTTCATTTCCTTTTTTAATCTAAAGAACATTCCAGAGCCTTGTACGAACACAGCAGGCACTGCAGAGGGCTCGAATGCTTGCCCATCCTGAGGCAGCAGAGATCCCATTCCCGCTTTTTATAAGATGTTGGACACACTGTGCTGACTCTAGGCACTTCTGCAGCAGTAACCTATCTCTCTGCATGGATATACACAACACTGTGTGGTGTCTTCCCAAACTAGTGTTGTGCTTGTGGATTGAAAGTTGCTGCTCAGAAATGGGGATGCTGCTGGTGTGAGCAAAGGAGTCTTTAATTTGGCCCACGTCTGATAAAATGCGGTTTTACTAACCTGTGAAAGTTCCTAAATGAATTATAGTTCCATGAAGTGAACAGCAAACCCTTCCCTCACACATTCTGGATTGAGGGTTGGATTTCATAAGGGTTTCTGGGTATTGGTTTTTTAAGATCCTGTTAGGTACTTTTAGTTATCATTTCCCTGAGAGCAGTTAGGTGCATTTGAAGATCAAACTTGCTGTGTGTGGCTATCAGAAATAATACTGGGAGGATGGAAGGCACAGCCATTAAACTGAAAGACTTGAATTTGTTTACTCCTGTTAATAAAATCATTGCTGAATTAAACTATTTATATTGCTGCAGCTAATTTAGTTAACAAGACAAATTTGTTCAGCCTCATCAATGCTGTGTTCAGAAGCCTGCTAGTGATTAATCATGGTTCTTTTTTTTTTCCCCAACGTCCATAAACATTCTCTGAGATTGCATAGACTCAATATAATTATTATTTTTTTGTTTCTCTTCCAGAGGTGCCATGAAACGGGTCGTGAAAGCCATGAACCGGGAACTGAAGTTTCTCCACTTACTCAGCTGAGAAGTAGAGCAGTCCCTCCCAAAAGAAATCTCTGGGCACCACCTTCACTGGGAGGAAACAATGGCAGCAAATAGGGCAGCAACAAGGAGGCAGGCCCTCACTGGTTTTAAGAGCACCAGAAAGCTTAACAGCTCCAAAGTTTATTCCTTCATTTCCTTTTTTAATCTAAAGAACATTCCAGAGCCTTGTACGAACACAGCAGGCACTGCAGAGGGCTCGAATGCTTGCCCATCCTGAGGCAGCAGAGATCCCATTCCCGCTTTTTATAAGATGTTGGACACACTGTGCTGACTCTAGGCACTTCTGCAGCAGTAACCTATCTCTCTGCATGGATATACACAACACTGTGTGGTGTCTTCCCAAACTAGTGTTGTGCTTGTGGATTGAAAGTTGCTGCTCAGAAATGGGGATGCTGCTGGTGTGAGCAAAGGAGTCTTTAATTTGGCCCACGTCTGATAAAATGCGGTTTTACTAACCTGTGAAAGTTCCTAAATGAATTATAGTTCCATGAAGTGAACAGCAAACCCTTCCCTCACACATTCTGGATTGAGGGTTGGATTTCATAAGGGTTTCTGGGTATTGGTTTTTTAAGATCCTGTTAGGTACTTTTAGTTATCATTTCCCTGAGAGCAGTTAGGTGCATTTGAAGATCAAACTTGCTGTGTGTGGCTATCAGAAATAATACTGGGAGGATGGAAGGCACAGCCATTAAACTGAAAGACTTGAATTTGTTTACTCCTGTTAATAAAATCATTGCTGAATTAAACTATTTATATTGCTGCAGCTAATTTAGTTAACAAGACAAATTTGTTCAGCCTCATCAATGCTGTGTTCAGAAGCCTGCTAGTGATTAATCATGGTTCTTTTTTTTTTCCCCAACGTCCATAAACATTCTCTGAGATTGCATAGACTCAATATAATTATTATTTTTTTGTTTCTCTTCCAGAGGTGCCATGAAACGGGTCGTGAAAGCCATGAACCGGGTGGACCAAAGAAAGCACGAGAAGTCTAGTCATGTCTTAAGGAGAATGAATGAAACATTGACCAGTGGTGCTCTTGCAAGATTTCATACTGCTTTAAGGGTGAAGGAAACGCAGAGAGCCAGGAGGACAGTGTCTGAAAATCAATTTCAAAGTGAACTGCAAAAGTCTTCAATGAAATACTGAATACAAAATGGAATGGATTCTATAGCTCTGTCTTAGTCACTCACCTGCTGGAGGTGTTACCTCATGCAAACTACAAGAATTAAAAATGGAGAAAATTTTAACAACTCAGTGTAGTTTCTGGCCACCTCAAACAAAAGCTAATTAAAAGTTCTGCCAAATACCTTCTGACTTGCAAAACTATTGCTTAGAAAGCAATTAATGCTGAATCTGGGTAGTTTATCTTGTGAGACCTCTGCAGTTTGGAAGACATTTTGTTCTTTAGCACAGGTTGATGTACTTTTGAACTACTGAAAATAATAAAAGGCCAAAATTTCCAATATTATCTACTGCACTGGAAAGCAAAGCCACTTCCACTATGAGTCTTGCTAATGCAACAGTGAAGACTTAAGGTGAAAACGTAGGTAAGGATAAACCAAGTTCATCATCATGTCAGTTGAATCAGCTTCTGAATTGACTTGATTTCCTATTAATGATAAAGTCACACAGGAAAAAAATATAAAAAAAAGACCACACATTTGAATGTAATCCTGGTCATTGGATGCTTCGATCCCCAAACAGTCCAGAAGAAACGGACACGTGGCGATTAACATTCCAAAGAGCCACAAGGGTCACTGTGCCACTGTTCCAGGGATTCCTGAGCCTGCACAGGCTGAAGGTGTTAAATTATAAATTCTGTTTTCTCTGCTCCCTGTGACAAGAGTGGGGAATTTGTATTTTGTGGTGACACTTAACCCTTCTTTGCTGGTTTAAGCAGCAAATGTCAGCACTAGAAACTGGAGTTCCCGTTTTGGGCCTTTCATAAAAAGCCCAGGGACTGAGATTGGAAATAGAAGTGGTAGAAGTCTGAGGGGGGAAAAAAAAAAAAAAAGTGTGGTTAGTAAGTGATGCTCCATTATAAGCGACCTGGTCAAGTGGAATGTGTCTCTTCCTGTAGCAGGGGGGTTGGAACAAGATGATCTTTAAGGTCCCTTCCAACCCAAATCATTCTGTGATTCTGTCATGCTACTCAGTCATGTCAGTTCTAGAATTGTAAGCTAAAACTTCCTTTCTGGACTCAGTTGTCTAATCTGCTTGTTCCTATCGTGTCACTATATGCTTTCCACCTTTCCTTATTAAAAGCACACATGCATGAAAGAAAAGTGTTTTCCTCGAGTGCCTCTTTCATGCAGAAAGAGAATTTGCAGAATTAAGGTTTCCTGGCAAGTGATTCAGACACAGGTACCTGGACTTTGGGCCAGGTTGGTGGCCAGCAATGACTTTTTCTAAAGCTCTTCTACTTTTCTTTTTTTTTTTTCCTGCCTTTTTTTAATTTTTTGTTGTAAGAGGTTCCCTTGTCAGGTAAGGAATATACTCAGTTGGATACAAAATTTTTTCTTCCTTTCTGCCTTGAACCAAGACAAACCATTGACCCTTCATAGGAGAATGTGTTGATCACACATCCCCTGTAGCACTGCCTTTTTGTTAGCCTGGCCTCTTGCCAGCATCTATCTTCCCCTCGTCTGGTGTTTGACAAACCCTTCCCCTCCTATGTTAATTATTGCCTCTTTTAATCCAGTTATTTCTCCAAAAGAGCAACTCAGCATATGTACACACAACAGGTGTTGAATTTTGTCACTTAAACATTCTCATTAGATCTGGTCAGACATAATCCACAGGGTTTGGGGGAGCTTTCTCCTCTTCCTGGGTATAGCTGGAGGAAAAAAAATTAAAAAGGCATTGATCTCCAAAGATCCAGTTTACCTTCACTAAATAGAAATCCTTTTAAGTTCAAAACAGAACAATCTGCTTTTTAGATACATCACACTTCTTGTGTGTCACTTAACAGCAGTTTACAAATTTGAGGTCTCTGAGCTCTCTAGTTCTGCAAACGTCTTAATTGCTCAACTGATTGTGCAACATTTCTACTGGGACTTTTCCTGTGCTCAGGGCTTCTGGGAAAAAAAATAAATACAAGTATCATTCACATAATCTCTGTGTGTGTTTTTGTCTTTCTAACTGGGACACCTTTGCAGTTGTACTTCTGCCCACTGGGGATACTGCGTGTGATTCCCAGGTATCTGAACACCTTGGGATGATTTGACCCTTGGAGTGTTGTTGAGGTGAATAGTTGTAATGCAGGTTGAACACTATGTGTCCAAAGGGACTTGTGAGCTGTGCTGATGCATCTAAGTCATCCTTCTTTAACTAGGGCTGTTTCAGTAGTAAAACAAGAAGTGAAAGCAAAGACTTCTCCATGGTTATTCTTACCTGAGAATATGGTTGCATCTGGGAAGTGAAGGGCTGGAAGGAAAAAGACTGTGGCATGTATGGATTTGGTGCTGTTTAAGGTTGGACTGAAGGGTCTGGTCCTCTAATACAAAGTGCTTAGTGACATAAGTGAGCTTGGTATGGAGCTTCTGAATAAAAGCAATCCTTCAGCACGTGCCCTCAGGTTACAGGAGTGAGGAGTCCCTACTCATCTTTTGTGCAATACCTTGTGATTTCATTTTCTCTAAACTTGAGGCTTGGCTTTAACAACCCGTGTCTGGCTGAAAGAAGATCTTAGATATTACATTTAAAGGGTTTATCTGGGGCTTGGGGGTTTTTGTAAGCAAAACAGACATGGGATTTGTAAGCAGTTCTGCATGAACAGTAGATCACACCACTTAAAACAGTTTGCATGTTGGGGAAGGCATCAGTGAATCAAAGCAGACATTACTGAAAGAAAAAAACATCTTTCTTCTGTGGAAAACAAAATAAGAACCTGTTCCATTTAAAGTGGCTGTGGAAATGGACAGTAAGGGTGTTCCTAGTTACAAAGAGCCTCTAGCCAGCAGCAGGAAGTATTGAATCTCAGGAGCCAGCCAGGAAAAACCCAATTCAGTGTGTATCACAGCAGTTCAGCAGAGGCAGATGAGCCATCTGGTGGTCTCTCATGCTCTGCAAATGCCTGGCTGTGGTGCAACTGTGTGTGGAGCTTATCTAGTTCTATTAAACACATTCGTGCTTTTAATCATGGAGGTGATACAAATGTCTCTGTAGGTTATGCATCAGAAAAGGTAAGGACATCTGGATGTTACAGCAGTACTTTAGTGATGAAAATCAGATGTTTAAAACCTTTTAGGATGCCTCACACCCCCCAAACACACACCTTTAACAAAGTCACTGATTTTAAACAGGCAGTGGAAGTCATAATGCACCCAACAGCTTTCCTGCTGGAGCATACATTCAGGAGGTGCAGTTCAGGTCCCTTCTTGGCCTCAGAGGTGACAGTCCCATGTCCTGTCTCAGGGGACAGCCCGAGCCACTGTCAATTTAAATGGAAGGGAGCTGGTAGGAAACATTTCACATCTCCTGTTTTCACGTGGGAACTGAAACTGAACCACAGTGGAGCTAAAAATGCTTCATGTAGGAAACTAGAGAAAGGATAAAAGAGAGCCTTGGAGATGGCAGTCCCCAGACTGAGGCAGGGAGGGCTGGCTCTGAATCCTTATTCCCCTGACACCTGCCATTAAAAACACCACTGAGCTCCCTCATAGATACTGTCACCAGCTAGATCATTCCTCAGGACCTCTTGGACACTGAAGCCTGGGAGAAGGGTGTTATTCTGGTAATTACTGGAGAGCAATTTCTCCATATGTCTGTTCTGGCATGCACTGGGACAGCTACATTTAAATATACCCCAAACAATTAACACCATCCTGCTCCTGGGTAAAAATAACACTTGAATTTCCATCTGCAAACATGAAAGTTCTGCTCCAAGCAGTGCCCAAGGAAAACTCCACAGTGCTGGGAGTGCAGAGGAAAGTTAATCCATAGCAAGGAGAGAAAAAACAGAGTAGAGACTCAAGGCATCAAGGAGAGGTGAGTCAGAAGCAGAAGGTGAAAACTGGAAGGGGCAATGGCCTTCCTGAAAAGGCACCATCACACACACCCAAACAAAAACCCTCAATCTTAGTAACAGTAACAGAATCAGCCACCAGTCACAGTTACCTGAAGGTCCACTGAGAAAAAAAGCAGGTCTGGAGCCAAGTCAGCAATGGGAAATCAGGGTGAGGGTCAGTCAGCTACACAGCCCAGCACAAAACAAACACCACAGCTCGGGAAAGAGACCCCACATAAATCCAGTTCCCCTGCAACCAGCTGGAGGGTTTGAGGTGGAGGCCCTGGGTAGGTCTCTCCCAGCTTAGCTGGTGCCCTGGAGCCAAAGTGCTGCAGCTGTGCCACATCAGCACAGAGCTCGGACACCTGCCAGGGTGTGGGCTGGGGACACCCAGGAGGATCACACAGAAAGGTGAAAGGTGGTGAGGGAAATTAGAGCCTGCTGGTACATTCAGAGTCATAGCACCATCCCTCTTAATGGATGTGGTGAAGGTCCCATTACAAAATCCTCCAAGAGAAAGTGGAGGTATTAAGAAAGAGGGTGGGAAAGGCCTCAGAGCAGCAGCCCCAGATCGAGACCAGTCTGGGCTCTCCCCATCCGGCAGCAGTGGTGACCCCTTCAGCTGAGAGAGGTGCTAAGCATCCCAAAACTTGGCATATCCCCTGGAAAATACATGTGGATGAGAGCTGGATCTGCCTGGCAGCTGGACAAATTGTGACCCATGGGACAAAGTTATTGTTCTTCCAGCTGTGGGAGATGGATGCTGTCCCTGAAGGAAAAGGAGAGAAATCTATTTATTACTCTGGTTTCTGAGTTGATGCTTTCCCTCCTCTTCCTCTTCTTCAAAGCTGATTGAGTGTATAAAAAAATAGATTCATGTCCTCGTTGAGCCTTTCCTACCAGCTAGGTATGAGTAGTACAGAGCCTAAATGTAGTCACCAGCTCAGGAGGGCACTGGGGGACCAGGCTCTGCCACCCTGGTAGGAGGGCACAGTGTGTTTGTGCTCATGACAAGGCTGCACCAGAGCCTGGGCAAACTGAGCTGGACTTTATTCCAGTGCAATGTTCCTCCATCTCTAAATGTCCATGACTTAAATATTGTCATTTGGCTTTTTGGGTAGACTTCCCCTTGCTTTTC